CAGATTGTTTAGGAGAAAGGAGAACTGGAAACATTTCTAAACAGTTTCCTTAGATATGTCCAAAAGGGGACTGGCCCATGGATCAACATGGAAAAGGAGCAATCAGGCCTGGCAATGCAGTCACGGAATAATGGATTTCAAGACCAAGCTGGGTGCACAGCAATCCCAGAGGTACACGGTTCGAATCCACCAGACGCTCTGCCGGAGAAGGAGGCGCAATATCCTCCTGAACCAGTCAGATCTGATTTGACGATACACACACACAAAATAAAAAAACAAAACAAAACAAACAAACAAACAAACAAACAAAAGACCAAGCTGGAGCCCTGAAAATGAAGTCTCTCTGAAAGAAGAAAAAGCTTTTCAAGTGTAACAGTCCACCAGGGCCTTTAATCAATCCAACAAACACACCAAAAATAGTAAGACGCAGAGGCATATAAAGATGATTTTTATTTATTCACTATAGCGAAAGATTTTGCAGACAAGAATCACATTGTCTCTGCTTCAAAGCAACTTTGATGTAGCAGAGCCCAAGGCAGAACTGCCTGTTGTAACAGCCAATGGACGGTCAACCAGACAGCCAGGCACCTGGACACACTGAGTCTGAGCTGAGGGATGGTTCAGGGCTGGCAGGCACATGGGATTTCAGACAGTCCAAGGTATTTCATGAACGTTTTAAAAAAAAAATACATAAATTGCACACCGAATTGATGTCTAGGATGTACTGAATGTAATCAAGTCTAGTCTTAGAATTTAACTCCTCTGTTTATTTTTAACCTTTGATTATTATATAATCTACAGCTGTGTGAGTGTCCTGCTTTGGGCCATCACTGTATTCCTGTGGGGCAGCCCTCGTTTAAAAAGCACCAACACGTAGCACCCAGGCACAGCTCTGCAGGCTGCACTTCTATAGTGTTTTGAAATAGAAAATAGCTATGTTTAGACTTTCACTTATCGGGAAACCCCACTGGTTATGAAGAAAAGAGTGAATGCTGACGTTGGAACAGGACAATTGGGAACAGGAAATCGGGGTCTGGTAGCCATGACTGAATTCTAGAATGCTCATTCCCAGATGAGAATTCTAGTTGGTTGAACTTCTGGTGAAATGCTTCCTTGCAATGTGCTCTTCTAATGTCCTGAGGCCGCACTTATTCTCTGCATGACTGTCTTCTTGCCAAGCCATCGTGCAGCAAAGGCGGGCATGGTCTCTGCGTACTCTCCCTTAGAACTTTCCCTAAGGAGGCTTGCCTGTTCTTGCTTCAGGGAATGCTGCTAAATGTGATTTGTGGGAATAATTAGGGCTTTATTCAGAGGATCCAGCGTGGTTCCCAGACAGCGCCCATCCTTCAGAGCGTCCCGAGGGATGGTCCTTCAGACAGTCCCCCTGCAGCAGCTGGGCTGACTTTCTCACTGTCTGTTCTACAAGCCTTGTGATCAGCAGGAGACATGGCATCCTCTCTCTTGGAAGCTGGTTGATGAAGCATATTTCCTGGCAAACAGTTGAACATTTGTGGTCTCCAGCGCATCATGGCAGATCATTTGCTACTTGTGGTCTTTCATTCTGCTGTACAGTTTCAAAAGCTGTTACCATATTTATAAACAGCTCAGCCCTGAAGACAACATAAAGGAAACAGCTAAGCTGGGAGAGAGAGCTTTCTTACAATTTCCACAAGAAATGATGAGAGGAGGAGTTCTTCAAGATGGTACAAAGTAGAAGTCCTTTCAGCCACTGGCAGGACTAAAAGATGGTGTGAGGAGAGGACTGCACTTTTTTTACCAGTTCTCTGTAAGGTGGTGGTTGGCGTCAGATGCCTCAATAACCACCTCAGAGGAGAACAGCTTTGTGTCTAGGACTCAAGAACCTATAGGTGCTGAGTCAGAACCAACTGAGAGATAACCCTGCTGTGGGTTTTCAGAGGCTGTAAGTCACACAGGAGAAGGTGGTCCACCTTTCTCCTTCAGCAGCTGGTGAACCTGACCTGTGTGCCTTTGGGTTGGCAGCCAGCTCCTTACCCCTAAGACAGTGAGTGGTTCACCAATAGTAGCCCTCCATCGGTGTTCACTGGATGGCTCAGAGGGTCCCTGACTCAGGGTCTGTTTACACTTTTACCTTAAAAAGTAATCATCATTAGCACTGAGTAGCTTGATCACTGATACAGTGTACTACTTTACTGAGAGATTATAGATTGATCACTGATACAGTGTATTACTTTTACTGAGAGAATGTAGATTGATAACTGATACAGTGTACTACTACTTTACTGAGATAGTGTAGATTGATCACTGATATGGTGTTATACTTTACTAAGATAGTGTAGATTGATCACTGATACGGTGTACTACTTTACTGAGATAGTGTAGATTGCTCACTGATACAGTATACTACTTTACCAAGAATATAGATTGGTCACTGATATAGGGTGTTACTTTACTGAGAGTGTAGATTGATCACTGATACAGTGTTTTACCTGAGACAGTGTAGACTGATCACTGATACAGTGTTCTAATTTACTGAGATAGTAATTGGTCTTCTGTTCTTGCTGCTGTAGGCATTTCCAGAGAATGAGCCTGAGTTGCTTTGCCTAGTGAATCTAATGTTGCAGAGGGAAGCAGTTACCACACTTGGAAGACACTTCCTTCTTAGAGTCACGGTAATTGTGGTGAGCTTGAAAGGTGGAGGCTGTTAAGGTGTGAGGAGAGAGGAAGGTCCCTGAGTCTATAGAAGGAATGAAGCTCTGGACCTTCTGTGAAAGGCAGATTCCAGTACTCCTTGCTCCTCACACACATCAGCCGGGCAGGAACCAGCTACAGTGTCAGCGTGGTGAACTCTTGTGAACCGAGCCTTAGGCGTCATGAAACTATCTGAGAACCAGGGATCAGGGTGGATGAAGCCCAGTGAACTCTTCTCTGATTGTGCTGACCCAGGGGCCATGACACTGTCTGAGAACCACGAGGGCTGGGTTAGGGGGTTTCTCAGAGACCAGGGTGGATGGAGCCCAGTGAACCCTTCTCTAATTGTGCTGACCTGGAATATGCTAAGGTCTCCACCAGAGCCTGGGGTTGGGGGATAGAGAATCTAACTGACAGATAGGATTGACGTCTCACCAGCTGGACGTGGTCTGGAGCTCAGAACAGAGTCAAGTATGTGAGAGCATTTCAGACTTCTTACCGTGAGACTATCCTTGAAGGCGCTTGCTCGGGCAATGATCAATCTTTAACATAAAATTTTAAAAAATTGTTTACAGAATATGACAGCAAGAAACACTTTCTCTATGTAATCCAGAGTTTTTCACTTTTAGATAACAAAATCAATGTTTAACATATAAAATAACTTGTTCCTAGTCTCTCACCCCAAACATACGTACAGAATCGAGGCAGGCAAATCTTGGTCATCTTTTCTGTGTCTTTCACTGTTTGTGAAATCAGACGTATGTGTGTAAACAAAAACACACCACTGTTTCATCATGAGTATGCATAACCCTTTTAAAGTAAAATGGCTAAATTGAAAAGGAAATAAATACACCAGAGTTGTGTAAATATTCAGCTGTGACAAAGATGGAAAAACAAATTTTTTTTTTAAAAAAAGTATCTCCATGGATTTTCCAGTTATTTTTCACTATGGAAGTTGTGATAAAAATTACCTGAGCTGCAGCTAATGTGTCTGATAGGGTTAGGGCTAGGATTAGGGTTAGGGTTAGGGTCATAATTTCTCAGACACTTTATTGCTCTGAGATACTAAAATACTGGGCCAATTGGCAGCATCAGTACAAATGGTGAAGAGATTGAGATAGTTAACAGTTTTAGTTTACTTGGCTCCACAGTCAGCACTTTTGGTAATAGCAGCCAGGAAATCAGGAGACGAATTGCATTGGGAAAGTCAGCTGTGAGGGACCTCTTAAGAGTACTGAAGTGCAACGACATCAGGCTGGAGTCTAAGGTGCACCTGATCCAGGCTATAGTCTTTGCAATTATGTGCTATGCATCGGAGAGTTGGACAGTGAATAGGGATGATAGAAAGAGAATTGACACCTTTGAGTTGTGGTGCTGGAGAAGAGTGTTGAATATACCATGGACTGCTAGGAGAACAAACAGGTTTGTCCTGGAGAGGGTGAAGCCAGAATGTTCCCTGGAGCCAAGGATTCTGAAGTTTCATCTGACATACTTTGGGCATGTTGCAAGGAGGGACTGTCCTTGGAGAGGGACATCATGTTTGGGAGAGTGGAGGGACGGCTCAGGAGAGGAAGACCTTCGATGAGATGGATCGAATCTGTGAGTGGAGTGGTGGGAATGAATATGTTTAAGACAGCGAGGTTGGCACAGAATAGAACGGCATTTAGGGCTCTTGTACATAGGGTCGCTATGAGTCGCAAACGACTCGATGGCACATAACAACAACAACAATGTATTTTAAATATATTTACATATGCATATATGTGTGTGTTATATGTGTGTATTAGCATGCGGAAATCTTGTAGCTGTCAAATGCTGGGTAGGGATTGGTTTTTTTCACTGTGTGTGTGTGTGTGTGTGTGGAAACCTACTTACTAGATAAAGAAAATACTTTATAACTTCAGAATAGACCTTATTCCTTTTTTAAAAAATTCTGTTTAATACTGTTTCTAGTGTCATCTCGCCATTCTGCAGTCTTTTCCAATCTTGGTCACTGTCCTATCTTACAATCTTTTACTTTTTCACAGATAAAAAAGGCCAGCTCGAGTCTGGCTTCCTATTTCTGCCTAGACATTTGTCAGAGAACACAGCCCCCTTTGGAGGGGAACGTCTTCCTTTCTGTCCCAACGAGAGAACTCTCACAGACACGAGTGTGCCTCCGTCCATCAGCTGCTGTCCAGTGTTACTGTGAGTTCAGGTCCAGCTGAGGGGGCTCCAGAAGTCATGGGCAGGAGATCACTCAGCATGAAAACCTTCCTCTGGAATGCTGGTCACAGAGATGCTGTGCCACAGAAGTCTCTGCATCTTGTCTGTCCTCATCACACATCTGCTCAGAAGTCCTGAGAGTACTCTCTTCTCCAGCACGGCCCGTGGCGGATGAGCGTGAACAGCAGCAGCACCAGGACGCTGGCCACCAGGCAGAAGGCGACGGCAAGAACCACCTTTAGAACTGAGGGAAGAAGAGGAAACGTGAGCACAAAGTCAACACATCAGTAAGACCAGGCATCAGGGAAGATCAGACGTGGGGAAGGTCAGACATGGGGAAGGTCAGACATGGGGAAGGCTGGACATGGGGAAGGTTAGACGTGGGGAAGGTCAGACGTGGGGGAGATCGGATGTGGGGGAGATCAGACATGGGGAAGATCAGACTTGGAGAAGCTCAGGCATCAGGAAGCGTGAGTGCAAAGCCAACACGTCGGTAGACCAGGCATTAAGTTCTTTCTTCTCAAACTCTAAGTTTGAGGGGTTTCTGAAGCACCCTTGAGGCTGGTATTGCTGTTGTTAGTCAATTGCTGTTGACGCCAGTGTGTGGGGGCCCCGCGTGAGAGCTGCTCCCAGGGTCTCAGGCATGGAGGCACTCCCAGGCAGCTCTCAACAGCCAACTTTCTAGCTCGTAGTCAAGCAAATGACCACTGTACCACCATCATCTCTTGAAAGCAGCATAATGTAGTGACAAACACCAGATCAGGAATCAGGAGGGGACGACACCCCAGTTCCAGTATGCACTTACCTACGGGTTTCTGTACATGGAAAGTAACTGAAGTCTTTCTAAGGACCCCCCCTTCATGTCATATGTATATTTTCTTCAGTTAAGATAAGTGAGCAGTTGTTCATGGTAATTTAAATACTGAACTGGAATCATTAACTGGGTCTCCAATAAATGAAATACTATCTTTCAGGTTTTGAATTTGATTTTCAGGTAAATGTGCTTCAGACAGAAACCCTTGCATCCATATTGACTGGCAAGTGCTGCCAGCGTTTCTAAGTACTATTGCTAATCTGAACCTTTATTTACACATATTGCTTTAACTGCTTATGGATAATGAAGCACGGGTGGGGAGTTTTTGTACTAAGATGATAAATCACTCTTTTACTTGCCCAGTTACTTCTCTCTCCCGCTCTGGAGCCCATTAAAGAGCCTTCATTATGAATTTAAGTGTATGACTCTTCCTCGTGAAAATATGGACTTGGTTACAGTTAAAGCGATGGGAGAATGTCCCTCTCGCCCTGACAGCCCACCTGCTCGTGTCTGAAAGGGGCGCCGTTTGAAAGTCACTGATTCAGTCTTCCCGTGTCATCGCGAGAGAGGATACTAAGCAGCAGTGTGCTTAGACAATCTGGCTGTGGTGAAGCAGATGGTTTTAGTGGCGCCTGCACGCAAGGACTCCTACCCTCTCACGATCCCAGATGACCACGTATTAACTAACGATTCTAAGTTTGTATCTTCAGCCCTGAACTCTCTCTCCCAAACTCATATTCTTCCATCTGTCTGTTTTCATTATCTAGTTCTACTACAAAGTACCACAAGTGGGTAGCTTTAACAAGCAGAAGTTCATTTTCCTAGAGTTTAGGAAGACTAGACATCAGAATTCAGGGCTCAATACTGCCGCTGTCATTGTGTACCACTGAGCTGGAACTGACCCACCGGTGGGTTTGCAGGGGCAGTAAATCGCACAGGAGGACACTTCAGCTTTCTCCCATGGAGCAGCTGGTGGATTCAAACGCTGTGCTTTTGGGTTGGCAGCACAGTTCCTTGCCCCTAGGCCATGAGAGCTTGCTGAGGGCTTGGCACGAGGGAAAGCTTTTTGTCTGCTGGGGTGCGAGTTGCTGGTCTCATCCCAGCATCTATTGTTCAGTTTCTCTGAAATCATTTGGCATGTATCTTGCTTAAACTGCTCTGCTCTATCTCAAAAGATTTAAGATGACCCTATAAGAACATCACACTAACACTGCAGAAACTCATTCTCAGATGGAATCGTTAACAATGGCTTAGGGTTTAAACTTCAGAGCACATACTCTGGGGCACGATTCGGTCAGTGACACTCTCTATTCATGTCTCAGTGCAGACATCTAAGAGCCATTTCAATCTCAACAAGTTCAAAAGTTGGTCCCCAGTTTGGCCTGCCGAGCTCTATTCTTCTTCTGCTGATGGAAACCCCTTTAGTCCTCGCAGAACAGAATAAACTCTCACCGTCCCCTCAGTCCTGCTCTTCCCATGTGCCCTAATCCTAATCCGCCTGGAAATCCTGCTGGTTCTGTTGTTGTTATGTGCCATCGAGTCACCTGTGAGTCATAGCGACCCTATGTACAACAGCCCTAAACACCGTTCTATCCTGTGCCAATCTCACTGTCTCTGACACACCTACCCCATTACCCCAGTCATTGGATCAGTCCACCTCATAGAGGGTCTTCCTCTCCTGTGCTGTCCCTCCCCTCCAAGGTCACTACCACAGTCTGAACCACCATCTTTGCCAGAGTGACCACAGTGGTCCCTAACTCGCCCTCCAGCTTCTAACTTTTCTCCCTGTGTCCATTTCCAATACAACAGCCAAAAGACTTTCCATGAAATGATGCAAATCCTGTGTGTGAAACAGATTCTGCCCTGGAAGCTGCCCTGCTGATAGTGAAGGCTGGTTAGGTGCTATCGTGTCTGGACCCTGGCGACTGCTCCCACTTCCTGTCCTGCCCCGCTTCCCTTCTCTCCCCTTTTCTCACTGTTGTTGTGTGCTGTCGAGTGGGAACTGACCCGTACCTGACTCTCCAGTGGGAGATGGGGATCCTTCCCCAGCGAAGCGCCTGGTGGATCTGAGCCACCTTTTAACTGCTCCATGAAGGGGGCAGGCACAGTTCCTCTTTGCTAGAAAAGGCAACTTCCCCATATTCTTTGCTGTAGTCTCAGTGGTGCCAGCCATGAGCTTCTTATTTAAGACTGTGCTGTGTACAAGCTTTCTAAAGTGGGCTCTGTGATTCTGACCTGGCAGTGTGCCCATTTATTGTTTATTATCTATCTCTTTTTCTCCCTAGTAGAATGTAAGCTTCATTAAAGAAGAGAATATAGAGGGGGGAAAAAATCCAAGTATTTAGAACTCCACCTGGCATATAGCAGACCCTCAGGACACATTTGTGCAGAGAATTCATGGCCTAGAACTAAAGATCCATGTCTTAGTCTAGAAATTTTTCTGTGAATAGCAGGATGGCTTGCAGCATCGTGACCGGGTGAATGCTAGGTAAGTTAGACTATGGGGTCAGGTGTCATTAGAACGACAGTGAAGATGAACGTAAACTTGGAGAGATTGAAACAGAATTGAGAGAGAAAGGACATTATAAACAGAACTTAGGAAGACAGATCGATAATTTTGGAAAATAAATATTCATGGCTGACTTCCTGCTTTTAGAAATTTCATTTCTTTATTGATGATATTGTCATGATGAGCTCACACACTACCCTTTCCCTCCTTTTCTTTCTCAGAAGAGGCCATGGTATGAGGGACTTCACTGCCTATGTCAGACGGATCATCACTAAAAGGAAGGTACAACAGAAAATGCCTCCTTGTGTTTCTACACTATGTACAGGGGACTTAGCTGTGTGGATCGTAACAAATGACGGCTAACATTGAGAGGAACGGGAATCTAGAACACTGCATTGTGATCATGTGAAACCCAGACATAGACTAAGAAACATCTGTGTGAACAGAACAAGGGAACACTGCATGGTTTAAAATCAGCAAAATGTGTGTCAAAGCTGCATCCTCTTCCCATAGGTGTTCTATCGGTCTGCTGATCAGGTAATTTGAGAAACTGGACTACATGAAGAAAACATGCCTTCAGTACTGGAAGAAGACTCATCTCAAGTCAAGAAAACAAAATTCTCACCATTGGGCCAATAGGCAACTTCATGATAGATGGAGAAAAGATTGAAGTTGTTAACTTCAGCATTCATGGTAGCAGCAGTCAAGATATCAAAAAAGGTGTTGCATTGGGAATATCCACTTTTAAGGACCTCTCCACAGTAATAAAGTACAAAAACATTAGTTTAAACACTAAGGTGTGCCTATTCCAAGCCATGGTACTTTCATTCGCTTCCTATGCATCTAAAAATTGGAAAATGAATAAAAAAAATTGATGTCTTTGAATTGTAGTATGGATAAGAGTTCAATATTCCATGCACTTCCAAAAGAACAAACAAATTTGTGTTGGAGAAAGTGAAACCAAGAAATGCCTGAGAGACAGGGATGGTGAAACTTTACTTCACATATTTGGGGCATGTTATCAGCAGGGACTGATCTTGGGGAAAGAAGTCATGCAAGACAAGGTAGAGAATCAATGAAGAAAGGAAGACCTTCAACTAATAGATTGACACGGTGACTGTAACAATGGGTTCTAGCCTATCTGATATTATAAAGATGGTGCAGGAAGGGGCAAGGTGGAGATCTGCTGTTCCCAGGGCCTCCACAATGTGCCGTCCACTCGATGGTCCAGATCTGCTGTTCACAGGACTGTTACGATGTACCGTCCACTCGACGGTCCAGATCTGCTGTTCCCAGGACTGTTACGATGTGCCGTCCACTCGACGGTCCAGATCTGCTGTTCACAGGGCCACTACAAGGGGCAGTATACTCGACAGTCCAGATCTGCTGTTCCCAGGGCCTCTGTGACATGCAGTCTACTTGATGGCATCTGATAACAAACCCCTTTCCTTCTTGCTTTCTTTTGGGAGGAATCTGACGAGATCTGAACTATGAAGTGAAGACACCATGTGCCCTTCATGCTGTGTGCTAGCTGCTGAGTGTTATGGTCCCTGCCTTTAAGGATCTCAGTCTCTACTGTGAAAGACAGAGAACTATGGGATGAGATGATAAACCCTATAATGTAGATATAGAAGATATCGTCGGGACAGAGAGAACATCTTCGCTTACAAAATACATTCTCTTTGATAGAGAAAGAAATTAAAAAGTCTTCAGAATATTAGCAAGATCTGAACTGGACTTTTAAGCGGAGCAGGACTCTGTCATGAGGCAGAAGGACCTGTATGAGGGTGTGCTTAGGGCACAATGAGCACTTGTGTTGGGCTGAAGTCTAGGCTGTAGGGTGGTGAGACCAGATATCTAGGGTGGGCCTCAAGGTTTCTTTATATTAAGAACATAATTCATTGATTGCTGTTTGTAAAAT